AGAAACACTATATCATCCTCACCCTCCAAGTTATCGGTGCTATGGAAAGAAGAAAAAAAAGTGTACACCTGCTGGCAGGTGAAAATATCATTTGTAATGTCCAGTTGGCTTTTGACCCCAAGGCAGCACGTGAATGTGTTTCATAAACACGTTTGTATTTCTTAAGTGTCATGGTAGTAGTAGTTGAATTTTTGTGCCCAGTATATGCCAGTCTTGTGCTACATGCCTTTTGAAATGACATGTGCTACATATCATTTCTAAGTTTCAAGCAGTCATGTTATTGACTTTAATTTCATTTTTTTTTACAGATGAAAAATAAGGGCTTAGAGAAATTAAACACAGGGTCAGAGGTTGCATCACAAATACATAGATTGGAAGCGATCTGAATTTTGATAACTAATCCCAAAACTCAAAGTCTCTCCACCCAATCTGTATTTCCCAATATGTGGTTTCCCTAGCCATGATAGGAATCTAGTTAAATCTCCTGAAGGGATTCATTATAATGTGCTGATTCCTGGGTTTGGTCCTATTCAACTCAGTCTTCTGGAAAGTAGCCTAGGAATCTGAATGTCTAACAAGATTCCTTGCAAACCCGGATGCACAGTGAAGCTCGAGAACTACTATTATAATCTTCTGCCTTGGTGTTTTGGGGGAAGCAGGCTGAGATAGAGTCTAAAACTGTAGCTTGGGCTGGCATGGAATTCACTATATAACTCAGGCTGGCTTCTAGCACCCGGATGATGCCTTGCCTCAGTCTCTTAAGTAGCAGGATTATAAACATAAGCTACCACATCACACTTTGACTTTGACGGTGGAAAATGGGTCATTAGGGCCTATTTTCAGTTAAAAGACTTACTAACAAGTAAGTGGCTACTCTGACTCCTTAAAAAACAGAGTCAACTAACCTGGGCCCATGGGGGCTCACAGAAACTGAACCACCAACCAAAGAGCATGCATTGGATAGACCTAGACCCCCTACACATATGCAGCAGATGTGCAGTGTGGTCAACATGTGGGTCCCCTAATAATCGGAGTTGGAATTGTGTCCTACTCTGTTGCCTGCCTCTGGATCCCTGCCTCTGGGCTGCCTTGTCAGTGGGAGAGGATGCACATAGTCCTCCTGAGACTAGAGGTGCCAGGATAGTTTGATACCCTTTTGGGGCTTCCACTTATCTAAGAAGAAGGAGAAGGAGACTGGAAGAAGGGGTTATGAAGATAGGACTGGTGGAGAGGAGGGTGGGGGCTGGGATCAAGCTGTAAAATAATTAAATAAAAAAATTTAAATGCCACCAAATCCCATGTTCTCATGGTTTAAGGGGACAGAATCCAAGACTCATACATACAAGGTAAGAACTCTGTCACATAGATATAGCCCCAGACACTAGTCTGATTCTTGAATCATGTTATCCTCTGAATTTAGGTGACTCTTTAATAATGTGAGCCAAACCAGGTCCTTTCTTGCCTTTTCCCGTTTCCCATGAACTCAGATTCTGGTCACATAGGAGACATACTCAACACTATAAAAATGAAGGACATTCAAAACAACCTTTAGATAATTGCCAGGTTCCTTGGAGTTTCTAGATCCTTTCTACCAGTTCTTCTATGGAATGACTGCTTGCAGGATGCTTTGTGCTTTTAAGGAAAAGGTCACAGCCATCTCTGCTGATAAGTCTTCATTTCTAGTGTCATTGGTAGCTGTGTATCCCTTTTTCAACTCATAAACCTTCCCAGGGACTATGAAGAGCACTATGGCTAATTACCTTTAGTCAGCTAACAGATTCTGTCTGTCCAGCTTCATCACTGTTTTGGGGGCAGTAAATATTCAATAAGCATCTTAAAAATAAAATAGCAAACAAAATTTTATACAAACGTAATTGGATTTTTATCCACTCATATGCATGAGCTTCCGTGATCCTTGGTATAGCTGAAAAGATTCTGAAAGGCCAAGCATGGCAAGAGAATAAAAAAATTGTGGTGAAATTAATTTTCCTTCTAGGATTTTAAGAAATATAAAAAGAGAAGTTAGTTCTGGAGCACTTGAACTACACAGATGTTAGACGTAAAATGGATCTTGGAAAGCATTCATTTAAGACTAGTCCATGATAACTAATGAAATAGAAATCAAAGATGAGGTCATGTAACTAACATAGCAGAGACAGGATTGCAGTCAAGTTTTCTGGTTCCAATTAGTTTTACAGACTCTGGTTAGAGATCTCTGGATCTTTGTCCTTCTCCCTTCCATTCCTTCTACTGTTCTTTTTTTTTTTAAATATAGTTACCACAGTCTATCTAAGGGTATTAGACATGATTACACTGATGGTTAACTTATGCTAAGAAAAATATACTTAATTCCTTCATGCCCAAACTTGTGAGAAAGAAATCATATATCACAAAGCTACTATCAATTCACTAAGGAATCTAACCAATATTTACCTTGATTCTACCATCTCATTGGCAAAGCAAAAATGAATGCATGAACCAGAAAATATTACATTTTAGTGAGGAGAAACACAACAAAAAGAAAAATTAGCAAAATTCTCTAGTAGTGGTGATGACTTCTAAGGAGAAAAAGAACAGAGTGTGAACATGAAGTCAGGGTAGTGTGTGTGTGTGTGTGTGTGTGTCTGTGTTAGCAGTAGGCAGAGGAGTCACAGCAGAAATAGTAGAATGAGGATCTGAAGATGGAGGCATTAGACTTTAGACAAGGTCATCAAGATAGGCTTCCTTAAGAAATACAAACCATAATTTTGTACAAAAAAAATTGTTAATTCTCAAGAGAATATCAACATCAATCTCTGCAGAAAGTGATAAAAATAAAGTCAGATTTGGAAAGTTTCACAAGAGACAGAATAGTGATGTTTTGCTGCTGTCCTGATTATTCCAGGTGGCAGGAAGTAGAGAGCAGAAGGATGACATAATTACAGTGACCTCTGCCTTTCAAGGAGATCAGGAAACATTTCGTTATTATCTAAGGTGAAAAGATATTCCTGATGGTTTATGGTTTAATATAAAGAAAAACTTTGCTTACAATTCTAAATTTAGAGAATAGAATTAATATTGATGAGAGATAATATTTTGGTAAAAAAGTCCAGAGAACATGAAGTAATGCCAAGACAACTTGGCAAGATGATATGTGACTTAAAACTTGATGAAAATATTGAAAAGTTCAGAGATTTGATTCATCCAATATGTAATTAATCATGAGGACTTTGATTAAAGTGTGAAATTTATATAGTTGAAGACTAATTTAACAATTTTTAGAGCTTTCTATGTACAACACAGGAACAATGCTTCAGAGACACAATAGGGAGCAAGATGACTCTGCTGTTCACTGTGATAAATATATTTTCTCTTCCATATGGGCTTCTCGCCAAAGTACAACTCCCAGCCTCCATTGCAGTTAAATATGATCTATGTCTAAGTTCTGGCCAATAAAATTGAGTACATTTGATAGGAACTACTTTTAGGTATACCATAAGGCCTAGATAAAACAGAATCTTCTAGTATAAGAATTTGGGGTTCCTAAATCACCACCAATAAAGCAGTGTATCAAGTGTCCATTAAAAACAGTATGATACTTCTGTCTCTGGTGCTAAAATACTGACATTCAAGTGGCCAATCTCATAATTATTAACACGTAGACAGATATTTATAGTCTATGTAATTATTTCTCATAGCAAATAATTCTGGTTATAACCTTAAGAATTAGTTGTTTTTCAAGTCACATGAGTTGAATTAATGCTTATATGGTATTGAATTACTTGATCTCAATATACAGTTAAGATACATATGGAAGCTATTCCAAATCACTGACACTTGAATATCCAAAATAAATGTTACTGGACAAGTGTGGCAATACGTTTACTGCAAAGTGTTTAATAAGTATAGATAAATGCTGAAGGATATTCAAAAGAGGTAGCATTCTTGGGTGAAGGAGCCACAAAAGCCCCGAGGCAGTGTTTCTTAGCCTTTCTAATTCTAAGACCCTTTAATATAGTTCATCATGTTGTGTTGATCCCTAACCATAAAATTATTCTGTTGCTACCCCATAACTGTAATTTTGCTGCTTTTGTGAATGGCAATGTAAATATTAGTATTTTCCAGTGATTGTGGGGTTATAAGCCCCAGGTTGTGAATCACTTTCCTAGTAGACTAGGCAGGCTTTATTGCATTTGCAAATGATAAAGGAAATGGCAAAAGAAACATGGAGAACATTCCCATAAAAATCGACATGCAACTTTAGTAGAGAACAGAAATAGAAGAAAACTGGCATTTGCTCTAATGTTTTAAGGGATGTTAGAGCAAGCAATGCAGTTTTATAAAGGAAAACAGGAACTGGTAATTCAATACAAATCAAAAAAAATTTACTGAGTGCCTACCAGATGAAGGACCTTCCAAAAGTGTAAAGTGGATACAGAAGGGAGATAATAAGGACACAGCCCTTGCTGCAAAAGTATTTATAATCTACTAGAGGAAATGGCCATACATGACTGCAACACAGTGCTAAACAAGATAAACATAAGTAAGAATGGTAATGGGCTTCAAGAGATAGATAAGTGGTATGGGAAATGACATGGGAAGGGCATGAGAAAGAAAAGTAAAATTTCATACAGGAGGTGCAATGCCAAGATTGACCTTCGAGAAATCATGTCACCACGGTTGGTTATGAACACATCAATTTCACAAAAATAAAAGAATTTCAAAAGAAGTGTTTTGTTAATATTTTGAGCAAGAACCACTGCTCCATGTGATGATTACTTAAAGGGACAAAAAGATGATATTTATACCTCTGATATGATAGTTAGAACACGAAAACAAACTTTTGTAGTTACACCAGAGTACTAGGAATTTCTATTTGAGCAAAATATCCTGACTTCCAATGAGTTTTCTCAAAACCAGCAATGCAAACCAGAAAGTGAAAAACTTGAGTTTTATTATACCATCAGAGGCAACCAATAAACAAATCATTGAGATGTTATCATCACCAAATGGCCACTTACCATGAACAAGGCTTCATAATTTTCAATCATCTTCTGAACCACAGCTATGATGGCTGTGCTCTCTTCAGCTCTGGCTGAGCTCTGGACAGAATATTCTTTGTCTGATGACTTCTGCTTGTGGAGCAGGTTGGGTCCAAAAATGGTTGCTAGGTTTAGAGATGTCATTTTATTCCCAGTGACCTATGGGAGAAGAAGTCACAAAAACTATTCAATTTTATGTTGCTTTTTAAAATTCTGGGTGGCTCAATAAGCCATGATATATTTTCATAATTTTTCCTTGGGTGGAAAATATCACCTTTGTCAGAGTCAACAAAACCATGGTAATATTCCATTTGCTTCACATTTGGGATTGAAGATCAAAATTTGCCACTCATCTAAATAGCACATTAAGAAAATATTTTAATTCTGAAATTTTGTTATAATACTATCCCTATTCAACATTTCCAGTCTATTTGCACTTAAAAATATTTATATTCAGCAACCCATTTATCAACATGTCTCTTTATCTGTCCTTTTACTCATCAATCACTAACATTTCCATCCATCCACTCAGCACATTCTTACCCTAGACTTGACATTTCTCATGGATCAAAATTATTTTTAACATTTCCAACAACCACCGTAGCACAGTCCTTATTTTAGAGGGCTCACATTCTAGGAAGAAAATACACTTGTCATTCCCAGGGACTGAGTACAAAGAAGAAATCCAACTTCAGAGACCCCAGAACTCAGAGGTAGCAATATTGACAAAAACTGATTTTTGAATGAAGGAAAGAGTGATTTCTGGTGAAAAACAGAGTTTGTTGGGTAAGGAGCATTGTGGAGCACACAAACATACATTGAATATATTTTGGACTTCAAAGCAAGGGGTTTTTGCATGGAAAAGAAAGGATTTGTGTGTTTGAAAGAACAATCTATGGCCTCAGGAACAGCATTGTTGAAGACCATGTGGGAAATTGTACCACTGCCTAGGTTTGGGGATCTAGCTTCTAAACTACAGAAGAAGTAGTGGTAAAGTCTAGTTTCCAAGATTGTCAATGCAGAGAATCAGGGTGCCACACTGGAGGTGAGGACTCTATGTTTAAGTTACAGTAGGAGAAACTGATTGAGAATAGGAATATGGAGGTTTGAGGTGGGATCCATTGGACTCAAACATCCTTAAGGGGCAGCTGATAAAACAGACCAACAATGTGTCAGACATTTGGAGAGTAAGAGAAACATGTGCTTGGAAGGAATGTGAGATTAGTTTCAAGTGTGTGATTTCCTATGACAGATGTTCACCATGAAATTTGGTCATTCCCCTCTGGATTGGATTTTGAGTGTGATTCTGGTGGTCTATATCAGAGCCTTTCCAGGTTTGCAGCTAGAACAGTGGCTGCAGATGTTTTTTCAAATACTTTCACAAGCAGACACAAAAAAGGAAGACACAGGGTGAGCAGGGTGTGGCACTAACAGGAAGCACAGAATGAAGGCAGAGAACTACTATTTAGGTGAAAACAGTTTTTAAAAACAACATGTTCAATATGTTGATAAGTAGAAAGCATGTAGAAACAAAATAGTCTTTATTCTACCAATTCCCAAATCCAGTTGTTCAAATGCTTTCCTACATGCCTATTTGCACAGACATAGTTGTTTTTTCCTCCCCTGAAAGCTAGAGCCTCACGTCCTGTTCTGTTTTGTAACTTGCTTGTTGTCTCTTACTAACATGTTGCATTTATTTATCAATTTAAAAGAATTTTCCTTCTTTCCTTTTTCTTGGCTGTTAGCATCCTGTTGAATAAACTGATCATGATTTGTTTTAAGCACAGCCAAATGATATGCATTTGTGTCATTTCAATCTTCTGTTACTATAAATAAGATACAGAAATATCTACAAAAAGACAGTTTATGTGCTTGGCTGAGCACTGTCTTGGGAGTCATTTCTCCAAGTAAATCATTATAATAAGGAATACGAGCATTTTTAAAAGCTTGGCAATCATTTTACTTACTTGCCTTTTTTCACACGGGAAGGAAAGTTTGGCTAAATATTTCTTTTTATTTTTATTAATTATTATTATTTATCACAAATTATTCAATTTGTATCCCAGCTGTGGCCTCCTCCCTCATCTCCTCCTAATCCCACCCCCCTTCCCTCTTCTTCCCCATGTCCCTCCCCTAGTCCACTGATAGAAGAGGTCCTCCTCCCCTTCTATCTGACCCTAGCCTATCAGGTCTCATCAGGACTGGCTGCACTGTCTTCCTCTGTGGCCTGGTACAGCTGCATTCCCCCTAGGGAACTAGTCATAGTACTGTCTTATAGGCTCGCCATGGAACTCAGGTTTTATTTTTAGAAGGCAAGGCCATTTTCAGGTAAACAAGTTACCACCAGGGAAAAGTGTTCCATGTAGTAAACTTTACAGATTCCAAGTGATGATGTGTTTTCTGAGGGACTTTTAGTTACTTGGTCTTCGTTTTATTTTGTTGACATGAAGTCCCATAAGTTTTCAATCCTCTTCCTGGAAATTCATGGTTAAGGAGAAAATAAAATACGTATCATTTTCCAATTCCTCCTTTCACAACTTGGAAGCATCTGGAAAGCTTCCTTAGCCTCCTTTAAAGTAAAATTGGAGTTTTCCCCCCTTTTTTTAAGCATGAAGAAACTGAGGATTTTGTTTCACTTAAAAGAATGTTTAGAACAAGGGCAATCCAGAGCTCTCTTTCCGCTCTCTCCTTCTCTGGTTGCTATTCTGGGAATGCAATACCATCCATCTGTAAAACTGCACATGGATTCCAGCTGCAGCCCAAGCAGCTGTGGTTTGTTCGCCTCGTTTTATGTTTTGTTTTGCTGTTTATTAAACTGGGAAGAAGACTTGCTCCTGGATAAATCTCACCTCTGCTCCCCATGTTTTAATATATACACATATGGGCATTACTTAGTTAATTTTAATTAATTAAAAAATATGTGGCTGGCCTAGGTAATAGGAGCCCTCAAAACCAAGCCATTATTGCATGATTTAGTTAGCCAGTCAATTCCAGGAAATCTTCTATCTTCACTAAGTAAACATCCCAGATAATTTCTAAGCACCATATAAATAGATCACATGTATTGAAAGCCCAGAGTGTTCAGACATTATCTAGGGGATTTCCACAGACTTTCTTAGTTCTTATTCTAGATAAGTTTATGTGTAAAGCAGATGCTCTTGTGGTCATTATTTTATAGATAGTGGGTCAGTAAGACCCAGAGCTAGGAGGAGGTAGAGGCATAGCTGTACAGCTATGCTGGTGCCAGCCTTTTGTACATGATATGGGTGTACCTCCTCCTATTCAGTCTTGGTTTCCAGACCCCATGAAATCATGAGGAAATGGTAAAATGAGCTTTAAAGCAGGACTAGAGGATGTTGAGACAAGGGACGTAGTAGTTGCTGAAGTTCCAATGCCAACTTACCATGTCCTAGAAGCAAGTACCTCCTCAAAGGTCAAGAAGTATGGCTCCACATTATTTCTTTGTTGCTTCTTATGCAGTTTCTTTCAGAATTTGATGCCAGTTATAGACTCTCTCACCAAAAAATTGCCTACTCACACCAGTTTCTGTGCAATGGTACCAGAACCTTATGCTCTGAAAACTACTCTCAGGGATGTTGGATTTTATTTCTACTATAATATTTTAAAGGGGGAATGAAATGTTTCTTAAATCTAAAAATTTCTTTTTTCCCTAATTTTTAAAGCAAATAGTAAGCTAAATGGAATGGAATAAAGCAAAATTAACACAAGAAAATAAATTCAATAAAATAACACCATTTTCCCCAAAATACTATCAATAGGTTAACCGACAATTTTCCTCAATATATACACATACTTCTTTTGTATCTGTTCATGAGCTTAACAACTGAGAGTACATTGAATTTTAAACATATCTTAGAAGGAACATGGTATTTTCATTTTGACACTGCTTTTTCTTCTTTTCCACTTTCACAAAGACAGAGCTCTGCCAAAGCTTTGTCTTTAGTCATATGAATCAGTCTTCTTCCATCTTGCAATTTGTAAAACAAATTGATGGTCTAAAAAATGGCTAACACAAACTAATAAATAGGTAGAAGAGAAGCTGGACAAATGCTCTGTTCTTTGACCACAGTTTACAGTGTGATAATTTGCCTTCCTCTCTTCTACCCATTTCCCTATCTGTTCATGCAATTAAAAAATTCTAAGCAAGTAAACACTCCTCTGTTCCTCTACCCCCACACTTACTAACTCCAATTTCTATGTCATGCTTATGTTGTCCATCTACTCAATTCCCTATATGCCATTTAAAATGTGGCTTTTATTCAGCCATCTCCATGGAGCTATATGCAGGTATTCTAGTTCATTTCTATTCCTTCTCTGAATGTATGAAGAGCTTTGGTACTATATTTTTTTGGTTCTGCTTACCTTCTGTCTTCATCTCCCCCACCTTCTAGACTTGTGTTTTCTATACTGCATTTGATACAAAGGCTTCTTAACATCCCCCCTTTCTCCTTCCCTCCCTCCTTCTCTTTATTTCCCCTCCCATCTCTGTGCGTGTGAAATTAATGTACAGCATTATATCATCTGTTACTCAATGCTCCCAAAGTTCATATCTTAATAGGATGGAGACTCTATCCACAGAAGCATTCAGTACTCTATGAACATTGCCCAGTTTCCTACCACCGTCTCAGTACTAATCTGCTACTTAAGTCCAATATGGCTGTTTGCTTATAGTCATTTCTAACCTGTCTAAAGAAGTAACATTGTCCTCCCATTTTCACTGATGTTTTAACTCAGTAACTAGATTGGCTATTGTCTGAAGGACAACTGGATATTGACTAGCTGAAAATCTGTCTGATCACCAGCCAGTATATGATGACTTTGTATACATTGATGAATGAGACCCTTCTACGAGAGCTTTTTTTTTCTTTTGTTGTTTTTGTGTGTGTTTTTTTTGTGTGTGTGTGTGTGTGTGTGTGTGTGTGTGTGTGTGTGTGTTGAGACAGGGTTTCTGTGTAGTCTTATTTGTCCTGGACTCACTTTGTAGACCAGATAGCCTCAAATCTCACAGAAATCTGCTTGTCCCTGCCTCCCAGAATGCTGGGATTACAAGCGTGTGCAACTGTGCCTGGCTTGCAAGAGCTTTTTTACTGTTACTTAGTGGGATATTGTCCTAAAAACTCTGCACACCTACAGTGACTACAGGGTATATGGCACCTATCCCAGAGTTGTAAACTGTAAAAATGTGCCACTTATATTACTATACATGGAAGCTCCCTGGAGGACATGGGCTAAGTTACTTAACCACTGTCACTCAGTTTCCACCCCTGAAAAGTGGGCACAATGACATTTATCCTACCTGGTAGATGGATTCGGTACTGTGGCACAACCAATACATGATAGGAGAGTCATAAATGGTAGTTAGGATCAAGATTAATATATATTTTTATTTATTTTTCAATATATATTAATCTATATTTCAATCTTTATTGTCTTCTTTGGGGCACGAGTAATGGAGTTTTGTTGAGATTTGAACTGAAAACTGTGTGACTGAAATTTATTCCCAAAAGGCAATAGGTAGCCAATTGGACTGGACTGTTTGTTTTCCTCAGTGCTTTCTTAATCACCCCAGGTTCAGGTTTCTCATTCTCACATAGTACTTAAGGAACACCAGAGAGGCAATTGGCATGCCTTCCAATCAGAGTTCTGTTTACACTCAGCCACCAGACTCTACAGCATCCATTATCTCTGTAGTCCACAAAGGCTGACACCCAGACAGATAATGTAACTATGCAACAATTATGAGAATTATAGTATACCCATGGAAGAGCTGTGTATGCTGAAATAAGGTGTCAGGACCATATGATGAAACCTGAAGCCAGCAGAGGTTTCAGTAATTATAACTCCTACAGAGAAAAATGGCTACCTCTGGAAAGTTCAAGTTCCGTTCTGACACTCCTGGTGGGAAGGAGGCATAGAAATGCAGAATTGCTTTTCTGAATTACTGTGAAAAATTACATATATCCATGTCCTGTGGAAACTAACTCTGACAACCACAGAACTGAGTTCATCATATAGCTGAGCTCTGCTTAATATGGACTTAAATAATAGCACATGTAGTTAAGTAGAATTGGAATGCCCATGACCCCCCTTTGTTGATTTATAGTGCATGTTAACCTATTAATGGATCTGAGGCCTCCAGGAAAAACCAACATTAGATAAAAGTACGACTGTATGAAAATAAAGAAGAAAACAAGGTCTCTTATGAGGGTGAAGATTCAATAGCTAGTAGGCAGAGTTTCTTTTAATCAATGATGAAGCTGTAAAACTCTTGGAAGTATGAGTGTGACTGAAGTGAACCACAGCCCCAAATCTTCATATGGGAGGAAGTATCATACTATCTCTGAATAGGGAACTCATTTCAACTAGAATATACCTAAATGGTCCATAGGCCTTTTACAAATGTGCCTTTAACAGTTGCCTTCATGTGGCACTGCTACACAAGAGCAAAGACTAGAATCTCCAGTTCCAGCAATACCTGATCCAAAAGCAGAATAGAAGACCTATCTCATTTAGAAAATGCCTGTTTTGGAAGAATGGTTTAAGTGGTGAAAGGTCCTCTCTACACTAATATAGATGAGCTAAGAAGGGATGTCACACTTTGATTTTACTTCAATCAAACAGATCAAACCAGTTACAAGAATGGTATTTTTCTCAAGCCCACATGTCATTTTAACATATTTTCCAAACCTTCTGTAGCTAATTGTTTTTGTTCCCCTCACAAATGGATGTTTAGTCTTGAGTAAAACATCTTTAAGGAAAATAGCAGCCTCATTTTGGATATCATTGAAATGGCAAGGGAGTCAACAGCTTATGTGTTTACAGGAACTGTCCCTACTCACCCACCCACACAAGAACAGGCACTGGGAAGCACTATTACATAAACATCTAGGTCATAGAACTTGTGATTGGATTTATAATCACCACAAAACCTTTTATTGTAGAGGATTGTTGTAGTTATTCTGGGTTTCTTGTTATTCCATATGAAGTTGAGAATTTTTCTTTCAAAGTCTATAAAGAATTGTGTTGGTAATTTGATGGGAATTGCTTTGACTCTGTAGATTGCTTTTGGTAAGATCGCTATATTTACTGTTATTCCTGCTGAGCCATGAGCATGGGAGATTTTCCATCTTCTGATATCTTCTTCTATTTCTTTCTTCAGAGACTTGAAGTTCTTTTCATACAAGTCTTTGAGTTATCTCCACCCCTGATTTCAAGATGTACTATAGAGCAACAGTAATAAAAAACTGCATGATACTGGCATAGAAACAGACTGGTGGATGAATGGAATCAGATAGAAGACCCAGAAATAAACCTATGGAAACCTAATTTTTGACAAAATGCCAAAACCATACAATGGAAAAACAATAGCATCTTCAACAAATGGTGCTGGACTAACTAGAAGTCTACATGTAGAAAAATGCCAATAGACCCATAGCTATCACCCTGCACAAAATTAAAGTCCAAGTGGATCAAAGACCTCAAAATAAAACTAGATATGCTAAATCTGTTGGAAGAAAAAATGGGGAAGAGGCTCACACTCATTGGCACAGGAGACAATTTCCTGAACAGAACACCAACAGCTCAGGCTCTAAGATCTACAGTTAATAAATGGAACCTTGTGAAAATGAAAAGCTTCTGTAAAGCAAAGGACACTGTCAGCAGAACAAAATGACAGCTCACAGTCTGGGAAAGGATATTCACCAACCCTACATCCAATAGAGGGCTAATATCCAGAATATATAAAGAATTCAAGAAATTAGACACAAATAATCCAAATAAATATGGGGTACAGAGCTAAGCAAAGAATTCTCAACAGAGGAATATAGATGGTAGAAAAACACTTAAAGAAATGCTCAACATTCTTATTCATCAGGGAAATGCAATTAAAAACAACAACTCTCAGATTCCATCTTACACCCATCAGAATGGCTAAAATAAAAAACTCAAGTGACAACACATGCTGGAGAAAAATGTGGAGCAAGGGAAACTCTCCTCCATTCTTGGTGGGATTGCAAACTTTTACAGCCACTGTGGAAATCAATCTGGGGCTTTCTTAGAAAAGTGAGAATAGCACTATCTCAAAATCCAGCTATATCACTCCTGGGAATATATCCAAAAGATGCCCCACAATTGAATAAGGCAACCATGTTCGTAGCAGCTTTACTTGTAATAGCCAGAATCTGGAAACAACCTAGATGTCTCTCAATGGACGAATGGATACAGAAATTGTGGAACATTTACACAACAGAATATTACTCAGCTATTAAAAACAAGGAAATAATGTAATTTGTTGGCAAATGGATGGAACTAGCAGAGATCATCCTGAGTGAGGTAACCTAGGAACAGAAAGACAAGCTAATAAGTACATATTAGCCATATATTATAGGACAGCCATCTACAGAGCTAAGGAAGATAAACACTAAGGAGGACTCTAGGGAAGATGTGTAAATATCATCCAGAATGGCAAACAGGATAGACACCAGAAGTGGTGGAAGAGAGGAAACAGAACGGGAGTCCACTATAAAGGGTTCCCTGAAAGGATTCACCCAACAGGGGATCGAAGCAGATGCTGACACTCACAGCTAAACTTTGGGAAGAGCTCAAGGAGTCTTATGGAGGAAAAGTGGCTTGGGATTAGAAGGATATGGAGGGAACAGGAGCCTCATAAGGAGACCAACAAAACTAAAAGGTCTGAGCCTAAGGTGTCCTGCAGAGACTGATGCACCAATGAAGTACCATGCATGGAGAGGGCATAGACCCCCTGCTCAGATGTGGCCAATTGGCTGCTCAGTCTCCATGTGGGTCTCTGAGGGGATCAGAGGTTGCCTCTATCATGAGCTCAGTTGACTGCTCTCTGAACACTTGTCCCTGATGATGCAGCCTTGCTAAGCTGTGGAGAAAGAGTATCCAAAGAGGCCTGATGAGACTTAACATGCTATGAGCAGATGGCAATGGTGGAGAACTCCCCCTTTCAGTGGACTAGGGGTAGAGGATGAGGAAAAGAGAGAGGGATGGTGGGATTGGGGAGCTGAGGGAGGGGACTTCAGTAGGGATATATAATGAATAAAATGTGAAGAAAAAAATAAAAATGAAAAAATAATTACCATAAAACCAAATCTCTCTGCATTTCAGTGATGTGTAATCTACATTAGATGGAGGTGGGAAGACCCACTCTAAATGTGTGTGGTGTAATTGCACAGGCTCAGGTCCCCACTGAATAAAATGGACAAAGCAAGCTGGATGTCAGCAGTCATTTCTCCCCTCTCTCCCACTATAGACACACTGTGACCACCTGCTTCCTCTTCCTGTCTCCATGACTTGCTTGTCATGTTGAACAAAATCCTCCTTCTTAAAGTTGCTTTTGTCAGGTATTTTGTCGAAATCATGAGACAAGTAACACATGCCAATGGTGAGGTGTCATGTTTCCCAGTTGAAATGTATGGCAATATTGATGGTTTGTGTCTTAACGGTAACAGCTAGAACAACAGATGAACAATAGAAATGAAATCACTCTGTTTTGGGTATCATACCTCTTGTCCATCTTTGCTGACATTATCGTCTGCATGTCTGGCCACAATGGAGAGGAACTGTAGGAGGCGGTGGAGGGTGTCGCAGTTGCAGGGAGGTAGAAGGTAGATGAGTAGTTGCAAGGTGCCCTGTTGTTCCTCAGGCTCCAACACTACACAAGGCAGAGAGAGGCACTCTATGTAAGAACAAGAGGTGCTGACACTTTTTGGGCACTGAGGACACCCTTCCTTTCCACAACATTAAGAAAGAGGTTAGCCAGGCCAGCCCTACTTAGTGCCTTCACACATTTTCGCACTATGTTAGCAGCTTAGCCATAAAACCCTATGAAAGGCACAGAGACAAGTTGGACCTCTAGGTAAATCATGAGAAGGATAACTCCATCTTCCTTATTTCCATCACCCAGCTTTCTCTTATTCATTACTCAGACTGATTTAATGGATTTTAGTGAACACTGGTAAATATGTACTGACAATGGCTGGGAATCGGTGAATGATCTGAAATCTTTTTTTTTCCCTGTTATAAAGTGATTTTATTATATTGATTTAGACATACTGTAGGTCAAATAATATTTTCTGAAGATAGCAATTGTGGACTTTAAAGCTTGACATAAAATTAGTAGCTTCAAAACTGTTAGTGGTATTCCCCAGCAACAGCATGATAAAATAATTCAACTACGTAGAAATATAGAACTCTAGGACTAGCTGGTTTGTTGAAGGGACACACTTTTTGTTAGCAATACTCAAGACATGTAACAAAGACACTGTCTTTTTTTTTCTTAGCCACAGTCTCATCAGAATTGCTGCATTGCAGGAAGAAATGTGTGCAGGCTAACACATCTCACACATTTTACTTCTTCCCATCATTTCTCCTTCTCTTGGGTCTGTGTGCATAGCCAGAAAAAGCTCCTTTGCAAACATTGGTATTGACTGAGCTATGCCATTTTGCTTCTTACTCTGGGTTCTAAGGCTCCCACTTTCATCATACCAAAAGCCAGGATTCATTTTTAGGCACTGACTCAGTGCACGCTTTTGCCAGCAGGTCAAAGCATCAACTTATAAGCACTTTCTACTTTCCTGGGGTCATTTGAAAACATCTGAATTTATTCTTGGCTTTTCCCATTCATTTTAGTTCAGCTTTCTTCTTATTAGTTCTCCCCCAGGTATAGCTCAGAAAATCCCCCAAATATCCCATCCATTAGAGACCAATAAAGGCAAAGCCAGCTATCGGAAAACACATAAACAAGATTTTCATGAGTGAGCTGGACACCCGGGTATTCCAGGATACTTTCCCACAAATTTGGCTCTGTTACATACAGAGAGTGTTGATAAATGCTGTGTACAGCTCCCTGGTGAGAAGGGGGTCAGGCATGTCTCTGAGGAACTCCTTTAACAAGGCTGCCACGTCGTGAACACTGTGCTCCTCTTCCAGACAGACATCAATCCCACGGTCAAATTCCTCACGCAACTGGAAAATCAATGGCTCAAAAGTCAGTTACATAAGATTCATAGGGCAGAATTAACAAGAAGCTTTATATAGCCACTGCCATCTTAGAACCATCCAACCTCTGTGTTTAGTGCTCACCAAAAAAGAAATGTATTTTGATAAATAATGTCTGGAATTAAATCTGCGCAGATCAGAAGAAAGGAAAGAAAAGAAACAACATGTCAGCTTAAGCTACAGACTCTATACATACTAGTTATGAAAATATACATGTATATATATATATATTTGAATGTGTTATTAAAAACTAGTTGTGCGTTTTGATAATTATGTATTCAGAGGAGTAGCTGACAAGAACCAGGAAGTTGTAAGTAAGGGTTGAGGGTTAGAAGAGAATTTTGGTCAATCGTAAATGTGAGAGAAATATTACACAACCTTTGTGAATGTCACCAAACACATCATATTGGAATTTTGATAGTTTACTAGAATACTAACAAAAAAAATCAAGATTATTTGGCAAATCACAAAACTAAAAATGTAGATGAGAAATGAATGTAAAAGGCTTAAAAGATAATATATTGAAATGAAAATTATCTCTAATTTGTCAGAGTAGCCTTATGAGCATTTCCCAAAAAGATTTTTCTGCCTTAATCATTATACAAAACCTATTAACATGGATAGCAGCAAAGAAATATGCTAACAATGTGGCAGGAATGATATCACACTCTGTTTTTGTCTCTGATACCTTGATGTCTCTTGTGAATTGTTCTCTGTTGTATAAATTTATTATGCAAGTGCATGGATAGACAGTGTAGTAAACTTCTGGGAGACTTATTTAGTTCATTCATTTACTCCTTCCTTCCTTCCTTCCTTCCTTCCTTCCTTCCTTCCTTCCTTCC